GTTTTTTTTCCAAAATGAATTAGAGAGAGTCTTTTCAGCTTTACGTTCTCTGATTTTTCTATCTATACTGATAGAGAGTTGAATTAATGTATCAAGCGTAGGAGGAATGTTAGTTCTAGATAGTTCACCTTTAACTGTTTCAGACAATCCTAAACGTAACTGATTACGTAGAGCTATATCATTCCATTGAGTTTCTGAAGCCCATCTTTTAAATTCAGCTATATAATCCTCCACAGGACGATTTCTTTGTTGTAATAATCTAATAGTAAGATCAGCTGTAGCTTGTTTATTAGGGTCCTCATAAAGTAGTGACATTGCTTCAATAAATTTATCCAAATAATCCAAAATAGGATCTTCATTTTCCAGAAATGAATGTGCCCAGGGCATGGGTTCACCCCTTAAATAGGAAATCATTGAACAGACCTTAATCCTGTCGGTGGGGTAAGCCCTGGGTTTCAGAGTAAACAATAATTTGCATGAATTCAAAAATTCTCTATATTTTTCAGGGTTGCAGACAGCAGGGCCACTTGAATGTATAACTTTATTTTGCATTTCTCTAATATAAGAAAGAAGTCTCTCATTAGCAATATGCAAATCCTGCATGCCTTGTGTGAGCATTTCAACTCTATGGGTTAAAGAGGTAATTTGGGAATTCACTTCTGCTGGTTCCATTTTTGGCTTGGTGATTCTGTTACGCTACTTGGGTGATTTGGATTGGAACTCAACTGCAGCTTGTAAAACTACCTAATTACAATTGTGAAGAAACTGAGAATCTTTAAAGTATCAATACTGTAGCTTTAACAAAAGAGAGAATCACTGGTAACTTGATTCAACCGAAGTGTTAAACTTAAATGAATTGCATTTAGTCAATAATCCAATAAGAAGAAGTGCAAGTAATCAATAACACAAAGTTCATTATTAAGTATTTCCTCAGAGATGCATTAAGTAACATTCTTTAAATTCATGAGAATAATCTTCAATAGAAACAATAAGCAAGTAGCTGAGAATATTTGCAAAGCAAGAACAGTTCATAGTGAATAAGCATGATGGGAGTTGTCCTCCATATAAATAGTAGCTTGAAACATTAAGTGTCTTTGCAAAGCAAGAAACAGTTTATAGTGAATAAGCATGGTGGGAGTTGTCCTCCATATAATCAGTAGCTTGAAGTAATGAAGATTTGAGTAAGCAAGCATTAGTTCATTATTAAATGATATTGTAGACAAATAGCTGAAAGATATACTTAAGGTTAATCTGAGAAGTCCTCCAATAGTTTAGGGATCTGGTCCACTTGTAAAGTAAGTGAGTTTCTGTTCTCCAGTAATCCTCTATGGCATGCAGCAATCCTTGCATTGGCTCAAAGGCTGGAACGGCTTGTCTGAGCTTGTGGAGAGGTAAGTCTGGTGGAAGTAGCTCCCAGTAGCTGAGCCTGTGGAGCCCGCGGTCTCGCGGAGGCAGCTCACACATTAGCTCTCACACAATCACCAAGCACCCTCTCTCTGGCCCAGTCTCCCTAAATACCGTCAGAGGGGGGTGGGGTCTGGCTCCTCACAGCTGAGTGCCGAACCCGGAAGTGTTACTCCAAGACAGGAGAGAGGTATGAGTAGACGTCAAATGGCAGACTCCATAAAGGATATCAGACTTGCCAGTGACTGGCTGTTAGAATCTTCCACCGATCTCATTAGAATTTTGTCCAAAGTCATAGCACATTCCGTTACTGCCAGAAGGGCACTGTGGGTAAGATCCTGGGGAGCGGATCTCTCTTCCAAAAATAATTTGTGTACCCTACCATTTTTGGGTGAGGTGCTTTTTGGCAGAACACTGGAAGAAGCTATTAAAAAATGCAGCTGAGGTCAAACAAGTCATGACAGGTGACCAAAGAGACCGCAACAGGACCATTGTCCATGCAGGGTTCAAGGTGGCTATAGAGATAGCAAAACCTATAGACCCGGCAGAGAATACACTCGGTTCTCAAATTGGAAGAGTGGTCAAACCTCAAAATATTTCAGACCCAAGACTCAAAACTCTTCCTTTCACCCCAACAAGCATTTCTGAAGGTGGCTTACACCAGGTCCCTCATGTAGGAGCACGTCTTCCAGTCTTCCAGAGTACCTGGAGAGTGATTCCAGATGCTTGGGTAAACTCCATAATCACAGGAGGTTATTGTCTGGAATGCGAAGATTCTTCCCCTCCACCAAGGTTTGTCAGAACAAGACTCCCTATCAACAGACAAAAGAGAGACTTCTTGACTCTTTATATAGACAAACTGCTACTGGAACAGGTCATTATTCCTGTACCTGTGAAAGAAAGGTTCCAAGGGTTTTATTCTCTCCTGTTTTTGGTCAAGAAACCAGGAGGAAAATGGAGAAATATCCTAGACCTCCATCAGCTCAATCTTTCCTTGAGGGTAAGAAGGTTTCACATGGAATACATACGTTCCATCATTCCAGTGGTTCACCCCAGGGACTGGTTAATATCGGCCGATCTAAGGGATGCCTATTTCCATGTTGCTGTCACTGCCAGACATCAACATTTTCTCAGATTCTGTGTCAAGAATGATCACTTCCAGTTTCAGGCTCTTCCCTTTGGGATAAGTACAGCCCCAAGGACATTTTCGAAGATTCTGGTCACTGTTATTGCTCTCCTAAGAAGGAAGGATGTTGCAGTTTTTTACTACCTCGACGACATCTTAGTAGTGGCGCCAGACTTCAAGATCATGATCTTGAAGTCTGGCGCCACTACTAAGATGTCGTCGAGGTAGTAAAAAACTGCAACATCCTTCCTTCTTAGGAGAGCAATAAAAGTGACCAGAATCTTCGAAAATTCCCTTTAGCACAGACATCTGGTCCTCAAGACTCTCTCTCTCAGTTTGGGTGGCTTATCAACCATGGGAAGAGTCAATTAGATCCTACAAGGGAACTGGTGTTCTTGGGAGCAAACTTCAATACCCTTACTTCGATAGTATGTCTCGCACACAAAAGGAAGATGGTCCTGCAAAATCAAATACGGAGCTTCAATCTAAAGACTTCCGCTCCCACGAGGGAATTTATGAAGCTCCTAAGTACCTTTACCTCAACCATACACCTTGTCAGATAGGCACAGTGGAATCTTCATCCACTTCAACATTATTTCCTGAGGAATTTCAAAACCAGCTCAGGAGACTGGAAGAAGCTTATTCGCATTCATCTCACTCTGAAAAAGAGGGTTTCCTTTGAAGGAAATAGATTGGGTGGTCATCACAACAGATGTCAGTCAGTACGGATAGGGAGCATATCTGGGAAAATTATTCTTCCAAGCAAGATGGCCTCCAAGGACTCAGAACCTACGTTCGAATATACGGGAGCTGAGAGCAACGTTTCTGGCACTCCTCCTACACCATATCCGGGATGCCTGGATCAAATTGAGAGTGGACAACATGGCGGCTGCTGCTCATATCAATCATCAAGGGGGTACCAGGAGTATCTCACTAAGGAAAAAGTTCCCAGGCCCAGCTACATGTGAAAGGCTTGCGTGCAGTCTATCTCCCGGGAAAGGAGAATGTTTTAGCAGACTTCCTCAGCAGACACCATGTGGAGGCGACAGAATGGCATCTTTCGAAGTCAGTGTTCCAGCAATTGGTTCAGAGGAGGGGACTTCCCCAAGTGGATCTCATGGTGACATCTCAGAATGCTCAGGTTCCTCGCTTTGTGTCAAGGAGATTCCATCCGAAGGCAATGGATCAAGATGCCCTGTCAATGAAATGTTTTTTTCATCTGGCTTACGTCTTTCCCCCCAATCCTCTTATTCACGCTGTTCTGAGGAAGATTTCCAGGGAACATTGCAAAGTGATAGCAGTAATTCCCTTCTGGCCACGGCGCCCTTGGTTTCCACTTCTAAAAAGGCTAGCAGTGGGGAACCTTGGGAGATTCCAGTTCCCGAGGATCTACTGACCCAAGGCCCTGTATTTAATCTGGAACCTCACAAGCTCAGACTTCAGGCATGGCTTCTGAAAGGCAATGCCTAATTGAACAAGGCTTATCAACCCTTTTATGTTCCAGGAAAATTTCTACTTCCTCTATGTAACGGATCACCTGGCACCCAGACTGGGTACCACCTTCAGCTCCCTGGATGCTCCTAGCGCTTCCTGATGGCTCCAAGCACTCCAGCCGACACCATAATCGACATAGACTCCTCCAGAGAGCAATGCAGGAACAAGCTCTTACAAGAGCTTAGTAGTGATTTAGCAAGGGAGTACGACAAGCATAGCAATCCCTTGTAGCAGATTCCCCCAATAAAAGACGGTACTCCAAATTGAGGGTGAAGTAGAACTGACTGTACTGGCACATACAGCCTTTTTAATTCCCAATCCACAAACTTAGTACTGCCCACAGGGTTTTACAGAACAACCAATAACACATGTACATTACAGAAAACACTCCCAGCAATTATACACAAAATCCTCCCCTCTGCCTGTGATATAATTATGGTACACAATGGGTTAACATAATTATCACAAGCAGAAAAAATACAGTTTTTATATATGCACTATAACTTTAAAAATATACATCCAATCTTCATAAAAATATGAGTATCAAACAAAGAACTATATTGGACATATAGATTCAAGAGATATGAGACTCTGTAAAAGTTAAAGGGAAAAAATGTTTTTCAGTCTTCTGCTTTAAAATTGGTTTAACACATACTGAGGAAAATTTAATTTTATAATTGTGAACACAAAATGAATTATGTATCACCAAGTTTAAAATAAAAACAACCCATATTATTAATCAGCACATTTCAAATATAAACATACCCAAAAATCATTTGAATCCTTTCAGCCGTTCGGGAGATAGCTATAAGTCAAGTTTGACCGACCGCAAGCACATTTTCATGCCCAAAACAGTTCCAGAGAATCAGGCTGTGCGGTCGGTCTATTTCCCATTAGTGATGTCCCGAAACGGTTCGCAAACGGTTCGCCACGGACTTATCATTGAGTAAACCTTGACCCTGTACCTCACAGTCAGCAGACACATTCCAGCCAATCAGCAGCAGACGCTCCCTCCCAGACCCTCCCACCTCCTGGACTGCTCTCTAAGAATGCAGCTTCACAATGGATGCTGTCCAGGAGGTGGGAGGGTCTGGGAGGGAGCGTCTGCTGCTGATTGGCTGGAATGTGTCTGCTGACTGTGAGGTACAGGGTCAAAGTTTACTCAATGATAAGTCCGTGGCGAACCGTTCGCGAACCGTTCGGCGAACAGTTCGGGACATCACTATTTCCCATGTTAAAGTCAGTTCAAACAGACGAACGACAACCATTCGAATTGTCGAACTGTCGAATGAACTGTCGAATTGTGTTCAAACTGTCGAATGCATTGAAGTCTGGAGAAGGTAAAACTTCAGCTGAATTAAAGATGGCCACCGCCACGTGCTCGTTTGTCGAATGGTGACCACTTCGACTACATCAGCACTTCGGCTGCATCCGAAGTGCCAATTTAAAGCTGCAGAACTGCTCTAATACAATTTAAAGGGGCAGCAAGTCTTTTAAAATTCAATCTGCTAAAATAGTCTTTGTAACGGATCGCCTGGCACCCCGATTGGGTACCTCCATTGAACGATGGTCCTAGCGCTTCCTGAGGACTCCAAGCACTCTGGCAGACACCACAATCACCGCACCGGAGAAACAAATAAATTATCCCAAGCATATGAATGCTGTAGACAGTTGAATAGGAACCATACGAATAGGTTTACTCTCCTAGCAGTCAAACTGGAACAGCATACAATAAATCCTTCCCCCAATAATGAGACGACACTTCACTTTGAGGGTTAAGCAGGAACTGACTGTACTGGCACATACAGCCTCTTTTATTCCCAATCCACAAACTTAGTACTGCCCACAGGGTTTTACAGAACAACCAATCAATCTTTACAATACACAAAGACACTCCCACACAAAATCCTCCCCTCTGCCTGTAATACAATTACCTTACACAATGGGTAATCTAATTATCACAGACAGAGAAATACAGTTTCCTAAAACACATCACAGGGACCCCAAAACATGCAATAACCCCATAAAAGTATATCCTTGGAACCGGGGGATCTGGGTGAACCACATATCCAAAATTCACCCAGATCAGTTCAGTACTTTGGAAGATACAGTTTAATGCAGATTCTGCAGAACATATACAGGCTAAATGAAAAACAATCACTGTATAATGTGTCCCCTGCTGTATAGTCCAAAACCACTGCATGATGTCTCTGTGCACCAAATACTGGCGAGATGGCACCGTGTTGAAAGGTCCAAACAGTGTCTGTGAGTTAAAATGGCCTCCATCCATTGTTCTCACCATCCATTGTTCTCACCATGTGCTTCTGATACAGGAAATGGTGGCCACCCAGTAACTCCACAGTATGTCCCCAGATGGTTCTTAAAGGGCCAGCAGCAGCACAACACAAATCCCTTATGCCCAAATCATGTCTTTAAAGGGCAATACATCCCAGGGGCCATAGTCACATGGCAGGAGGCTGGCAATCAGTCTTCTCCAATGCCCACTGGCAAGGTCGGTTTCGCCACAGTCTTTAACAGGTAATACCTTCCAAGGGCCATAGTCTTAAAGGGGCACTGTTCCCAAAAGTCACAGTATGTCCCCAGATGGTTCTTAAAGGGCCAGCAGCAGCATAATAAAATACAATATGCTCAAATACTGTATTAAAAGTGCCAAATCTCCCAGGGGCCATAGTCAGCAGGCAGGAGGCGGGCAAACAGGCTTCTCCAATGCCCAGTGGCGAGGTTGGTTTCGCCACATTTCTCCCCTTTCCCAAAAACACTAACAAGGTATCTGGCCTCCTGTCGGTCATTGCCTTGGTTAGTCCAGCAACCCACCAACAAAACATAGTCAGTAGTGCAGCCCACCCACAATGAAAAGTTACTGTACCTGGGGTAGTGGGGAGCTTGTGCATGTCCAGGGGCTCCACCACGGGTCTGGGGAGTACTATCCCTCTGGATCGGTGGGTTGCTGTGTGGGAAGAGAACAACAGTACTCTGCCCTGGTGCCAGCGCTACCACGGGAGTAGCCTGGTTGGGGCTCAGCTGAGGAGAAGGGTTAGTAGGCTCCTCCCTCTGGCTGCTGAAGGGGAAGACAGGCTGTCTCCCCTTTGGATAAAGAGCCCTGCTGCAGGGGGACAGGACCGACTATCTCTACACCCTGTGGTTTGGGCACAGAGACCACGGTCCCATCTGCACTGGTGTGGGGCTTATCATCTTCCCTTGGTGGGCTAGGCTGCCACTGGGGAGGGGGAACGAGACTCTCCCCTCCTGGTAGAATACTCTGCCGCTGGGGAGCAGGCCCGACTGTGTAGCTTGGGCACAGAGACCACGGTCCCATATGTGCTGGTGGGGGCTTAGTATCTCCCCTCGGTGGGCTACGCTGCCACTGGGGAGAGGGGGTAAAAAGCTCCTCTCCCTTACACACTTTCAGCTGCTGGGGAGGAAGGACTGCACCGTCGGCTCCCAATGATACATACTGCCGCTGGGGAGGAAGGACAGCACCTTCAACTCCCTGTGATACATACTGCCGCTGGGGATCTGAGATGACCGCCCAGCATCCCTGTAGGGCCGGTAGAGAGACCGCCGTCCCATCTCCACCTGCCATCTGTGGGTCTTCCCAGGACCAGTTTGTGAGGTCTCTCAACATTTGCGAGTAATGACCACCTGCTTCTGCACCTCGCAACTCCGGCTGCTGCTGGGGATCTGGGCCGGCTGCCCAGCATCCCGGTGGGCCCGGTGGAGAGACCTCGGTCCCATCTCCACCTGCCTGTTGTGGTTCCTCACAGGACCAGTCTATGAGGATCCCTACTTCGGGTTCCTTCGGCCGCCTCAGGGGAAGACGGCTAACCTCCTCGGATGCAGCCTCTACTCGGCTGCTGTAACACTCCTTCCGCTGAGCATACTCTCTCTCTTTCGCCAGCCAGAATGTGTTTCGCTCAGCTGTGACCTGGTTCCAGATCACCCGGCGTATCTCCATGGGTACATCATCCCCATACTGGGCCACTCTCTGCCTCACCTCGGCCATCCAATCATCTTCAGAGCCAGAGCCTTCCATACCTGTTTGCTCCAAGTCGCTGGATACCTCTGCTCCCAGGAGAGCTGCACGAGTGCTAGCATTGCCCTCAATTTGTAACTCCACGAACGGTGTCTCTGAGCTGCTTTACCTCGCACTAGGACGCCATCCCACCGCTGCCACCAATGTAACGGATCACCTGGCACCCGATGATGGATGCTCCTAGCGCTTCCTGAGGGCTCCAAGCACTCCAGCCGACACCATAACCACCGTAGACTCCTCCAGAGAGCAATGCAGGAACAAGCTCTTACAAGAGCTTAGCAGTGATTTAGCAAGGGAGTATGACAAACATAGCAATCCCTTGTAGCAGACTCCCCCAATAATAGACGGCACTCCAAATTGAGGGTGAAGTAGAACTGGCTGTACTGGCACATACAGCCTCTTTTATTCCCAATCCACAAGCGTAGTACTGCCCACAGGGTTTTACAGAACAACCAATAACACACGTACATTACAGAAAACACTACCAGCAATTATACACAAAATCCTCCCCTCTGCCTGTGATATAATTATGGTACACAATGGGTGGCGGGGCAGGTCCTAGTGTTTGGAACTAGGAAGTCCTTTTGGCATACAGAGACCCTGTACAGCCGGCGCCGAAAGTGTGACTGCAAATACCAGCACTAACCATAAGAGGAGACCAGATAAGTGGGACTTACCAGCCTTATGCAGCGATATTTTTAAAAAAGCAATAAAGGATTTAACTTCACCACAGTTTCCAGTCTACATTATTGCAATATAAGCCTACAAAGTTTAGAGCAGACTTATATTGCTCTACCCTTGTGAGTGTTTTCATTTACATTTTCTTTATCATTGTGTATGTACATATTACCCTATGATTATATATTTCCTTTCTCTTTTTGAGACATATATTGGAGTGCTGACAGAAGTTCTAAAGCACATTCCATAATTGGGAAAAGCTAAGTATTGCATTTTTGCACATAATTGGTTGCACAAATAAACAATTTTTGCACAATTTGTATGTATATATGTTGAAGTGAGTTGCACATTGATGCACTTGATCACTTTATTTGCACAATATTGCACAAATTATTATCACTGTTTTGATTCTTAAAGGCACAGCGCACTTTAATTTTCCATTGTTTTTACATAGGTGATTGAGCTTTTTCACGATATATAGTGCTGCTTATTGGTATAGATTATAGTTTTAAATTCAGCTCCATAACATTACTTGTGTGTTTTATCAGTTTGGCTATGTATATTGAGCGTTCTGCTGCTTGGAGAAGATCTTCTCAATGGTTTGTTATCTCATGGGATTTTCGCAAAGGTGACGCTGCATCAGTCTCCACTCTCCGTTCCTTGATGATTACTGCTATTTCCAAGGTTTTTTGTAGCATGTATTTCCCTCCCTGTGCTATTATTGCTGGGGGAATCCCATATGTTAAATGCTGCCATGATTAGCTAGGAATACGGAAAATGTATTCATACTTACCATAATTTTCTTTTCCTGGCTATTATTCATGGCAGCATTTGGTTTTTTCGACCCTCTCTTGGATTTCTTCTTGTTACTTGACTGAGGAGTGGTTGCTACTGGGGTCCCTATTATACCAGGGGAAGGTATGCTTAATTGTTTGTGTTTCCTGTCCTGAGGGTTAGGGGGAGGAGCTAAACCCATAATTTAAATGCTGCCATGAATAATAGCCAGGAAAAGAAAATTACAGTAAGTATGAATACATTTTCCATATTCTTTGGCTTTTGAGCTTTTTATATTGTGGGTCTTCTTTTTGGGTATGGCCTCGCGATGCTTTGATCCTCCCTGGAATTCAGCTATGGATAGATGCTGGTACAACATGAGTTGTGACATGGAAATTGGTTTGGTGCCAGTCAGGACCGTGAACATCTCTGGGATATGTTTTGCATGTTGCTTTGTATTAATTGTTTTTGTTCTCACTTGTGATGTATGTATATTAGATATTAGTGTCAGATTTAAGACTCTATACATGTTATTTGTTCTTATTGATTTGCATGTTCTCATGATTTAATATATTCCTGATTACGACATGATATAGATGTTCTGATCACTACATTTTTGTCTAACAT